TTGGTTGTGTGCCTATTGCACTACCACAATGTACTGAAATGAGGCATCATCGCTGATTGGGTATTAATGTTGAACACCATCTATCATTCAATATTTGGAACCCTTCACTGGGGATATGTTTACCGCGTGGTTTGTGAACTATCATTTTGATAAGATAATTTTCCCGTCGTTAGAGGGAGAAAATAACATCGTTCCAGAAGAACAATGAGAAAATATCATTCCAGAAGAATGATGAGAAAAGACCGTTCCAGAAGAACGAAAATAATTTGTCTTATTTTGATTCACGAAGCAATCAATGTGAAAATGAATTTTTGAATAATTGAATAATGCAATGATGTGTCAATCAAATGCCAGATGCATTTAATAATGCAACGAAAGTGATAAAATCACATATACTTACTGCAAATGTGCGTACAAGAATTAATGTCTATGTTGGACAATATAATGAGGCAGTAAATAATTTATATTGCATACCTGAAGCGTGGCAGGCCCTTAGACTCAAAAGGTTCAGTCATTCGAAAGAAGAATAATATAGCACTACTAAACTATTGCATTCCCGAAGCATAACTGTTGCATGCCCGAAGCATGACAGTCACTGCATGGATACACGTCATAGAAAGGACAATCCGCAGACATGGGAATGTTAATGTCTCATGCATGAATCATGATAGACATATAAGTTCCAATGACTCAACTCTCGGAAGTGGAGATTAAAAATCCTAGCTCTATAACGCTCAAGAAGAGGTTATGATCCACATTCTCTAAATTATGACTATCCTGGAAGAGATAGTGTAATGCCCTTGAAGAGGCAATGGATATCCAAAAGAAATAAAAAGCTTTTATGCATGCGCATGCATATGAGAATATGGGATCACGAATTGATGATAACCAATTGTAATTTTGGTTTTACAAGTAGCTACTAAATTCATCAATGAGCTGTGTTAATATTGAGTCCCGTTCTTTTCCGTCAACAAAATTTATTGGCCAAAAATGGAGAAAGACAATTCCATTACAATCTTGTAAGAACGTGAAAAAATTGACTTATACTTTAATACAATACAAATAGCCAAAAGATGTTAAACCAATGAGGTTACATTGGGCATTTGTAATACAGTGAAATACAATTACATGATATGACACAAGGTTACTAATTGAAACTTGAAATTATACTCTGGTAAACAAGTTCATATGAATGGAGAATTACATACAAAAGGTTATGAGTCGCCCACATCATATCTCCATGAGTAAATCCCTCAAGTATACATGGAAGCAAGTTGTTCTGTATAAATTCCAAAGGAGAATGTGTCATGAAGTGTAGAAAATCCCTGAAGGATTCAAATTGCTTGAAGTAAGCCCTAGAAGGGTAAAACATAAATTATGTACTCCATACCAATGGATGATATAAATTACCTTACCGAGTGTTATCATTATGATATTGTTGCAACATACTAAAATCTCTTGCAAGAGTCAATGACATTAAATTAGAACTCATGAAGAGTCAATGAGATTAAATTAGAACTCCTAAAAAGTCAATGATATTAAATTAGGACTCCTTAAGAGTCAAGAAATATTATCAAGTGTTGAGAGGAATATTGTCTTGAACTGCAGATCGAACAATATGCCAACATGAATTTTATCCATAATGTTTATGATATTAAAGAATCATATGGATTGAAGATTATGAGTTGAATACTCAAATGATGTAGACACTAAGAACGATCATTTATTTTTCTGAGGGTAAAGATAAATTGATATTTGGTCCAGAAGTACCACATCTTAGTGAAGTATATCCTTATTGTATTTGGCACAATACATGGAATGAAATCATTTATCTATTGATATCTCCGAGAAATTATACATATGTGCATATATATGAGTTAAAAACAAACAAATAGGATGAAGCCTTCACAAATGTTGCTCATGTGAAGCCTTAGTACTCGGCAGTACCCCAGAAAGAGGAGGCACTGGAGATTGATCATGTGACGCCTCAGTATTTGGCAAAACACCAGAACGGGAAGGCATTAGTTGCCTTCAGAATCTAGCAACAAACCTCTGGTGATCACTTTGAATCTGACTTTTGGATTCCTATAGTTGGTCGAGCTTTCTCTTCATGCTCGTCGAGTAATTATTGGCAAGCACATGTAACACTCTATTCTCGTGCTTGAACCCTCCGATCTCTTGTTTAAGACTTACCACATCAGCCATCAATGATTCAACTTGGCGAGTTTGAGCAAGTAGGCGTTGGTCCATATTGGAAACAGAGCCAGCACACTGAACACTGAGAGTCAATGAGTCTTGAACGGCCGATTCATCAGACCGTTTTGAAAGGATTGTGTTATCCTTTGGAGTGAGAATATTCCTAGCTACTACTGTAGCGGTTATGTTATTCTTCATCATAGAGTCCCCAACCGTAAGAGAACCATTAGAAGATAAGAAGGACAGGCGCCATATGTTATCCTGACGCTGCTCGTCTGTATCACTTATAAGACTCAAATCTAAGCAAATGTTAGATGGGCAAGCCATTTTCAAAAATGATGAAAGAAAAATGAGGTCAAATAAAATCTCAGAAGTGCAAGAAGAGGAAAATTTCTACAGGCAGCAACTTTCCGAGCATACATTTTGAGCACAATTAACGTCTCTATAAAATAAGAAGCAACAGAGCCACTTGTTCAGAGATCGAAGAGACACTGCTCTCCGAATTTCAAAAGCCAGATGTTCCTGAATAAAGTTTGTTAGCATTTTTTAGACGCAATCTCATGTTTTTCGGATATCGCGTGCAACTTTATCAAAGATCTCTGACAAAGTTGAAAACGCGTAAATTTTACTGTTCTAATTACACCACAGTTGCTGACAAGAGTAAAGGCACAACACCACTACATGTTACTTGGAAATCTCTACATATGTCGACCTATGTTCTCCATAACAAGGCAGACCTGCAAGAATATTTAACTCTTCCTCATCTCCAAGAATGCATCTTCAACAAGCATCTTGAAATACTCAGTTTTCTTCATCTCCGAAAATATTCAACAAGCATCTTCAACAAGCATCTTGAAATATTCAGTTTTCTTCATCTCCGAAAATACCTCTTCAAAACAAGTCACACCAGAGCAAGAGTATCTTATATCATCAGGGACAAGAGCAAGAGTATTTCATATCATGCAATCTCCCTGTCCTTTCCTTTATCCTTGTCCTTACCTACCAAGACAAGGATAAAGAAAGCAATATGTCGGAACCTCCAGTCTAACTTCCAGTAAGGAACCGACTGCCTGGAACCTTTCCTGATTGCTTACCTAGCATTGGTCTCGAGTAGTCATCTTCAAATGTCGACATGATGTTGGCTATTTACACTAAAGCTGTCAAGCATGATGAGTAGCAAAGGTTTGCATTCCACTCCTGCATCAGTGGACAAATACTACAAGAGAAGAGGCCACATATGCATGGAGAAAAACCAAGGAAAATACAACTTCTGCAAGGGGAACAGATAAGGCAAGCAAAAATGATACATTGAAACATGTGGAAACAAGAGCTACAAACACGTGCCGATTCATCCCTGACAAAGCCGAAGATCACTTGCCACGTGAAGCTCTTCGTGGTCCAATTTCATTCAAGATCAAGCATCGATGGCCTTTGAAGAAATCACAAGTCCGATTCAAGATCAAGTATCCACCACCCTTGAATCAAATTCAGCTCCAGATAAAAAAAAGTAAATTCAGACATTTGGAGGAAGTATAGCAGAAGGCCCTCCAGCCCAGTTCAAGAACAAGCATGTGGAAAGTTAACTACAAGTACAACACCTCTTTTGGCAACTCTTCTCGCTAAGAGACTGAAGCAGAATGATTAACAATCAGCCTAAATGATTTGAAATCAGGGGGAGATACTCATCAGGGAGAGCATCCAAAACAAATCAAGATTTTAACGAGTCAATTAAATACTTGTGGCCATCCAAGGGGGAGTGTTGTGAATAATATGTGGATGGCCCACATAAATGATTTGTTACTATTTATGCACAGTATTTTCACTATTCATTTGTAGAAAATTTGTAAAGTGAATAGTATTCTCTTTGCTTATAAAATGAATGAGAGGTGAAAAAGGAGGATACATACGACTGAGGAGAGAAACCAAACGGAAGAGGAAGAGAGAAAAGAGAGGAAGAAGATAGGAGATAATAGAGAGAATTATTTTTGTACTCCTATTATTCCAAATTATAAAGAAAGCACCACTACTGCCCCGAGGACGTACTCCAATCACATTAACTGTAGAGGAACCTCATAAATTTTGTGTTTTGTTTATTTATTCCACTGCATACACCGTCGATTTTACAACAATTACATCAATTTAATGAAAAAGTTTGTACACATCAATTCAAAAATTCCTATTGAAAGGAAACAAATTGCTGCAATTGCATTAGTACACCATTACGGTACATACCTCAACAATCCCTAATCTCAACAATCCCCTCAACCATTACACGAAAAGGTCTGACCTCAACAATCTTCTAATCTCAAATCAAAATTCAAAATTCAAATCGGAACTCTAATCCCCATTTCAAAATCCCAAATCGAAATCCTAATTGAAATATGACGAATTAAAGGGAAAATTTCTTACATTGAGCGAGACTTGATCGAGAGAGAGAGAGTCGGAGAGGAGTCGAGAGAGACGTGTGGTGTCGTGGGTGTGATGTGTCGGAGTTGAGATCGACTGAGAGAGAGAGTCGACAGAGGTGAAACACAGAGAGAGGTCGAGAGAGAGGGTGGGTGGGGCCAGAGTCGAGATCAGGTAGTTTGGGCCTAAGTGGGCCGAGTCGAAAGAGACAAAAATCTGGTTACTGGGTTAAGGAAGAAGAGAAGACGAACTGAAGAGAAGATGGTCAAGAGAGAGAAACAGGCCGAGAGACAAAAAGAGGAGTTTCAAAAGAGAGAGATAGGGGAGGAGTGGGAAATCAGGCAACGGAGTTAGGGGAGGAGGAGAGCTCGAGGAGTCGAGAGAGAGTTACGAACCACTTACGCAACCAAATTAGTCTCACTCTATAGCAGCATTGCCAATTTGCCAGAAGATATTAAACTATAGTAAGTAAATTACAACCATACCAAAAACTCCTGCATTTCGACAGAAGTAGTAAATCAATCATCTAACTTGGCCCTAACCCTAAAGCTAAAGTGTATCACCAACCTCTTACACTTTACGAGCCAGGGTCCTCTGCTTGGTCGCGTGCTGTACTACTTTTTCCTCTACAGGAAGGCCCTTCTTCCGTCTTACACCGTTAATTAGTTTCCTTGCAGTATTGGGAAGCATGCTAGACCCGTCACCAAACTCCTCAATTTCTTCTTCTGTTTTTGGTACAAAGAAAGGATCTTCTGGAAGTGCTTCCCAGTGACTAAGCACAAGAAGAGCACTTGCAGCACCAGCAGTCCATCTTCTAAGCTCATCCGCAAAACCAAAGCTTTCAGAAACTGGCACATATGCATGCACAGTGAACAATGGGGAGCCTTCCTGCATTTCCTCCTTTAAAACTCTAGCCCGCCTTCGCCCAAGCACAGCGTACATAGAACCCAAATGCTCAGTTGACGTATTCAACTCACAGAAGTACATGGCCTCCACAAGCCGTGGCTTCTTTTGAAGTACAGCTTCTCTACAAGCATCTTTGATGGTTGTCATTACCTGTCCTCTGAAGATACCATATTGCTCAGGTTGGTGGTGGGAGGCTTCCCCTTCATCAGACTGAGCCATCAATGGTTCAATTTTAGCCTCGATAATAAATGCTAAACCCCGCACAGGTTCATCGCATAAAGGTCCAGCTGCTGTCGCCACTTGAAACCCAGATACTACACTGCTTTCAAGGCTCTCCGCCTCAACTAACAATGTTTGAGCTACTTCTGAAGATGTATCAGCAGGTGTATTGCCACTGCCAGAAGCATCCACAAACCCTAATTTTTGAGATACATGAGAGGAACCACAGATGAGGACAGAGCCATCTGAACCCTTTCCTTTGAGGTCTGGAGTAAGGAGGATATTAGGACCTACTTGCGAAGGGCCAAGCGCCCATATCCTTTTAAGTAATTTTTGCCACTTTAGTTTACACTTCTCAATCCTATCCTTGTCGTCATCACCACTAGACAGAATATCACTCTCCACAGCATCCATGATACGTTTCTTCAGTGCTTCAATCGGGTTCTCATCTTCTGCAATCCTTGAAATCTCTGTGTCAAAACTTTTACTGGTCTGAGAAGCTCTACCTCCAAGGATATCTCCAAGTAAATCAGAACTATCTTCAAGCACCTTAGTTAAAGAGGGTGGGAGCTTTATGACTTGCACCTTTATCATACACCTACCGTTTGCTGTCTTTTTCTCAACATAATCTGAGCTTGTACGAAAGAATTTCAAATTCTCAAGTTTGTCGGCTACATTACCCTCAATGGTCTCTTTATAAGACACAAGAGGTGGAGACACTTCCAGGCTTACCCTTGCAAATCTCTCCTTCAAATCTTTTATGCATCTTTCAAGATGCACCTCTCCTGCAGCAGACAGCACATTTTCTCCCCTATCAGAAACTGTTACCCCAACAAACGGGTCAGCCCGGTTCAGCAGCCGTAAACCTTTAGTCAGTGCACCCATATCCGCAGGATGAGTTGGCTCAATTGCGACTCTCAGAGTAGGAGCAATCTGGAAAGCCATACTGGAGAAAGGCCAACAGTTTTTTGTCGATGAAAGTGTTGCACTTTTCAGTATATGCTGGCCAAGGCCTCGAATTGCCACAAGATTCCCGGCATGGGCAGAGGCCACATGTGTTAAGCCTTGGCCCATCATGAGATACAGAGATTGCAACTCAGCCACCTGCAAATGCTTTTTCACTGACTCCCCTTTTAATGGATCATACAAAGCCGAAAGCACATAAATTTTCTGTCCTGAATAAAGAACCCCACTAAAGATCCTTGCAAATGCAAGGAAACACTCATTCAATTCACCCTCATCACTTACGTTGTTTTCAATTTCCCCATCTAATCCCCTCTGTGGAAGTACTTTCATAGGGACAGCAAACATTTTGGATACAAAAGCAACACAGGGAGCTTCAGGGCTCGAATCACAAGCTTCAACCGATTTCCTCACAAGCTCCGCCTCTGCAAGCGCATCGGAATCAACCCCATCACTCAAAACTTGTCTCTTTGGAAGCAACCGCCCTATCCTAAACGCCTGTGCTGCAACTGGGTCAGGCATACACCTCACAACCATCGACAACACAGCATCAGAAAGCGGAAGCCAACGACTCATCACTGCTTGAAGCACAACCTTCTGATCCTTGTTCTGAAGCTCACGAGGCGGCACATTCAAATTAAAGGACTTAATAACTTTCTCAAGCATCACTTTCCCACCGCCATCATCGTCCAAAGCGGCCTGATAAACCTGCCAGAGCGGCTCAAGCACAAACTGAACAAACATTGGCCTAGCATTTTTCATACCAGCTACACCTTTCTTCCCCAAAATCATCTTGGTTTTCGGATTAAAGTACCTAGGTCCCCACAAAGCCTTTGTCAATGCTGCCGCACTCACCCCAAATTTCGAAGCGTAAATCTCAGCAAACTCACTAATGCAGAAACCCCAACCGTCCAAAGCACACACAAACGCCACATTCCCTTTCTGGGGTTGAAACGTATCTTCCTCATCATCCTCCACATCCAAAAAGCTCAGATTTTCATCACTACCCACATCCCCCGCCGGCCCAGAAAGTATAGCATCCACGTCGGACAAGTATTTCTCGCTCTTATACGCACTCACAATCCAATTAACCTCATGAACAATACGAACTAACCTCGTGTAAGCTTCCATGGGGCTCAATTTAAGCTCGGAGATCAGCCGGTCGATCTTGTTCAGCACCAAGCACGGCGTCAGCTTCTCAATCCAGGCCTGGCGCAACACGGCGTGCGTCTGGATGTGGACGCCCTCGACGGCGTCGACCAGGACCAGAGCGCCGTCGCTCAATCGGGCGGCGGTGGAGACCTCGCTGCAAAAGTCCATGTGGCCCGGGGAGTCGATGAGATTGATGGAGTGGTCTTTGTAGTGGAGCGCAATCGAGGAGCTTTTCATGGTGATGGCCCGCCTCTGTTCCTCGTCGAGATAGTCCATGAACCGGAGGCGCCCGGCGAGTTTCGGGTGGACGACGCCGGAACCGGTTCCGGCGATTAGGTGGTCGGCGAGCGTGGTCTTGCCGTGATCCACGTGCGCCAGTATGCATATGTTTCGGATATTTCGGGTGTTATCGGCCATTGGAAGAAATATGAGAGCCGGGAAATCGAAGGTTTCGGATTCTTTTTTGGAGCAGACGACGACGACGACTTGGCCGCTCTGCGGAGGAACTTCTCTGGTTTGTAGCAATTAGGGTTTTTCAGTTGTTTGAAGGGTAAATCTGGTATTTAACTCAGCCTTTTTTTCAACTATGTTTTTTTTTATTAGAGGTTCGTTCCTCACGAAATAGAAATTACGGAATTTTTTTCACATCGATGGAGTATTAAATGCAATTTAAGCACTAACCGCCGTTGTATACAACTACTTAAGCATCAACTTTACCACTTCGTGCAAACACGTCCTTAAAAATCCTCCGTCAACATCCGTTAGCAAACGTTTTTATTAGAAGCACGTTAATACTTTCACTGAAAACACCCTTGATGCTTATCCAATGAAAAGTGAAAACTAATTGAAGAAAAACATAATTCTTCATTTCTTAAGCGACAAGGTACATAGTCGGAACTCCAAGTTCTTGAATAAAATGTACGGACATTTAACGAGGAACACAAACACGAATATCATGACAAACAATATCTTCGGGTCAAGAGAAACAATTAGTCCGAGCGCAGTACTAATGAATTCATGAATACAAGTTACAACGATAAACAAGTGCTGGCAAATCCAAGAAGGACAGCATCTTATCTCACATTTGATCCTGGTCTGCATGCCTTCAAGTGTAAACATTGCGGCTCATCGAACGGGGGAGGCTGCGGTACAATGTCACTCCCCTTCCCCCAACACAGATAAATACCTGAAATAAAAAGGAATAAAAACCATATGTAAGTAACAACGGGAGCAGACTCAAAGAAACAAGAAATGGAAGCAGTTGCGGAAAAAAGCAGAAGCCATTTTGGTCAAAAGTAGGTTTATTAGACTCTGTAAAAATCCATCGCCAGGCAGCATAAATGTTGGCGGTGACAAGTAAGAAACTCCTTACACTCTTTAACATTGATTTTCTTATGAGAGTTCTAGACCTATATATTGCCTGGAGGTGTAAAAAGTATATGATCGAGAGTACCGCAAAACGCTTAATTCTGCATCTTTTTGCCCCTACCTGCACGGGTACAGGGCTGAGGGTGGATCTGCTCTCCTTTTACTCTAGGATGGACTTTTACACACCACCGATTCACAGTAATGGGCAACATAAGAAAAATAGACAAATACTTAATGTGTTATACCACCATCTTACCAATAGAGTAGCTTCAAGTCTTCTAATCACGATAGGGTGTGAGATCAATGTTGAAAGGTTGCTTCCCCTTGCTTACCCTCTAAGAATTAACAACAAAACAGAATATCCAGGTCAATATCCAGTAATAAAATGAAAAATCATATTATTAACAACGAAACAATCAAAATGAAAAATCATTCTTGTTCTTTATTTTTCACTCTCTAGCCTTGTCAGAGAAAGCCAGGGAGTTTTAGGATGATAGACTATACCATATAAAATATGTCTAAATAAGTACTTCTGAATTGTTTGAAAAGTTGTTAAAAGAATCTAGTATTCATAGTACAGCTAACACTGCATTTCCATGGTTAATATAACGACTATATTTTTGACTCTCCCAAGTAACCAAGATGTTATACTTTCCATTTACATGAATTCTCTCAAGTAGTTTTTCAACAATTAACACAAAAATGATCATAAATGTAAGTGCTCGTATTACGGAAGGGACTTACAGCAATTGCTATGAGCTCTACCAGCAGTTCCTCCAAGTGGCGCAAGGGCTAAAATCATAAATTAGAAGTATTTTAAACAGTTTAACTTAAGAAAGTACTCTTTAGTTAAACAATGCCCACATATTCAAACATCCCAAAACAGGAATGAACTTCCAGAAAAAATGTGCATGCAAATAAGAAAGCATTACTCACCCATTGAGTTGGACCATCAACTGGAGCGTTAGAAGGATCATCATGTACCTATGTAACCAAAGGAAAATCTTAGCAACCCAAAAGTCTGTATGCAAGCGTGAATAAGTATGTGTGTATGAATCTATTCATAATGAAGAAGACTACCCTAAGAAATATCTGCAACCTACGTATGTTATGGTCATACAATGAAAAGCTAAGAAAGATGAATTCGTATTGGACACTTTCGAATTTGCATGCACATTTATAGTTACAGATAACTTAAGAGAAATTATTCATAAAGCTCCTTCAAGTGAACTCAAAATGAATTCAAGTTACAGTTTGCATTACTGGTAAGTGGAATTAGTTAACATCACCTAATTTGTTTTAAAGTAAACCCCAGAATTGATAATGATAATCCTCAGAGAAGGCGAAACAAAAAATGCAGGCATCAGATTCAGAACTCAGAAGATTACTTTACCTCCATGAAAATTCCATCCACCCCAACAGCGACTGCTGTCCTCGCAATGCACGGTATCAATTCACGAAGACCACCACTGGCAACACCTCCATCGTCCAACTACAGGATAAAGTAGGGTTCAGCCATTTGAAATGGGATGCAAAATTCGACAATAAAATAATATCAAACCAAATTCAGCATATTAAAGCTGTTGATGCTAAAAAAAATGGTAGAAATATTGCAACATCACCCTTAGAAACCCATGAAGATGAATAAATAATATTGGTTACAGATTTCAAGTGAAATACCACAGAATATATAATTTGCAGCTATAATAACCATGCGTTTCTAAGAGAGGAAGCTGCAGAGCACAACAAATGTTCTCACCTTTCTCCCAGCAGGCTGTTGCAAAGCATGTGTGACGTCAGCAACCTGTAGTGAAACACTTGAGTTGAGTCACATGGTCTGGTCTTCAGATTGTTAAATGAGAATGGAGGCAGCATGTTAAGATACGGAAAATTGGGACTGAACAAATGCAAAATACAAAAGAATCATCTGACAAGAACCAAGGTCTGAAAGCATTAGTAAGGAGCAGTTAATAGTCACCCAACTGAACAGGATACATGTCAAGTTGTTAACCAGCTTCTACATCTATATTGCCACATTACAGTCAGACGACTTGGAGTCTTGACCTACTAACAACATAGAAACACATATCCCAACCTCTTTGTAATTGACTTCATACTCAACAGGCAACACTTCCTACAGAAGCTTCCTATAGGTACATCCAATATTCCTCACAACAGAATTTCAGGAAATAAAGCAAAACAAAACGAAATTGAGTATAAAACAACAACAGCACATAAAAGAGCAAAATTTAACATTAACTTACCACAGGACAATTAGCTTCTCTGATCCACTCCAAATTGCGAGGATCAACAATTAAATCATCTATGAATCAAAGAAGAGACATAGGATTAATCAACTGAGTAAGAACAATTTATGAGAATGAACAAATAATTTCCTAGAATGTAGGTCAATTGTACATCTTATACGATATGAATGGGGAGTCAATGCATGAAAGTTTAGAAACAAAAAGGGGACATAATGCAAGCAGAATTTACTTTCACTTGTGTTAAAGCAATGGATACAGATAGCCGGGGCAAGCATAGCTTAATACATAGATGCTGTAAGACTTACTATAGCCAAACATAGTTCCCCTCTCACAAACCATCACGTTTGGATTTCCAGCCAGTCTAACCTTCTCGGCAGAATTTACCATGACCTGAAATATGAACACTTTGAAGCTTAATATCTGAAGCACAAGGATACAAAAATATTTTAAAGAGTAGTCAGCGGAGGTCTAATCAATTAGGTCAGAGAGAGAGAGAAAGAGAGAAAGATCACTCACAGAAGGAGCACAGAACTGGCCCTTCTTAATATTGATAATTTTTCCAGTCTTGGCTGCTGCAACTAGAAGATCTGTCTGTCATCATAAGAAGTCACAAATAAGATAAGATTCCAGCTATTGCATCCTTTCAAAACTTCCTTTTTAACTTTTTATTCCTCTTTTTAGCAACGCATCCGTAAAAACATTTAATGAAAATATCTGCTGGTAGGAGGCACAGTGTTATTCCTTCACCTGGCGGCATAAAAATGCAGGAATCTGAATAATATCTGCAACTTTACCAACTGCTTCACACTAGAAAAAAAAAAGAACAAAGAAGAAACATGAGAAACAGTTCCTGACCTGTCAAAATCCAGTTCAAACTTTTCTCTTTATCTAACATGGGATGGCAAGGAAGTAGACAAGGATGGATGGCTTTTTCAGATGTGCATGCAAGTATTCAAGATAGAACATATAGATCTATTCATCGGGTTCAAGATCAAGAAATTTGTAATGGAGTAGATTATAATCAATGCCAGAGTCTAACTTCTCGTTATCCACAGTCCACACACATTGTTACAGAGACATATAGTGATGAGGATAGTATATCCGAGTTACCCAAATGGTACACATTTATTCAGCAAACCAAACAGTGTTTTGTCAAATGAAATTCGATCATTTTACTTTTTACGACCTTATCTTTGACCCACAAACTTTAAAGCTTAAGCGAACAAGTATACTTAGAACAAGGTCTAAACTTTTGTGTCTGAAGAGAGGAGACGGAATGCTCACCTGGCTAGCTTCATGTACATCTGTAATTATAGGGAGGTCATATGCTGTTTTAACCTTCTCAAGGATCTGAAAGAAAAAGGAGAAATAAAGAGGAATTGGTGATTCTAACTTGAATGTCTTCTATATTGAAAATTACTGCCAATTAAACGTTAAGAAAGAGAAATCCTACTCTTGAAGAATCAAACCATGGTTTCTATATGCCCGTAGTAAGAACACATGTCACAGAAGAACTTCTAACGTATCGACTAACCACAATGGGAAAAACTGATCAATAACACTGAATTGAAGTCTTCTAAATCTGATGACACAAATAATCACCTTGAACATTTAACAATATCTAATACGTTCTCTATATTTATTACCGTATCAACCAAAGCGATTCATATCTAAACTTAGCATGAGAACAAGATAACGAACAGTGGTCCACCTTTAAGCCTTCTTCCAAGCCAGGACCCCGGAATGATTTTGAGGACGTACGGTTGGCCTTGTCAAAGCTCGACTTGAAAACCAGTGGCAATCCAACCCTACAAGATTAAACAATAAATTATCTATCTTGCCAAAAACCGAAAAAAATACACAGATTTAAATCCAATCTTTATCCCATTTCGACAAAATGCATAAATCCCAAAGAGAAGGAGAATACTTTGTTGCAACACTCTTAATGTGCTCGGCCATCCGGAAAATGTGCTCCTCGGATTCAATCACATTGGGACCAGCTAACAAGAAAAACGGTTCGGTCGCCTGTAGGGATTGAAACAAAAAAAAATTAAAGTGCCATTGGAGCAATAAACCATCCGAATTTATATACCCTATAACGTAAGACTTCAAAGAATCCCAACAAAATTAAACCTTGAGCTGGTTATATAGCAGAACTGATGAATCCATATCTTCCCACTTAGCTGAAACAATACAAACAAACAACTGCAGCTACAGATATCAGGATTCAATCATAACGCGTAAATCATTGACCACATTACTCAAAAATTGTTAATTTAATCAAAAGCAGTAACCAAAATTTTAATAAATTTTCATAATTCTTTTTTTTGGGGGAGGGAGGGGCAAGAATTTTGCTAATTCAGAATGTTGATACTGTCGGAGATTCATTGGGACCTTTCCCGCAATTTTCTGGGCAACCAAACAGAAATTTAAACGAAATTCCAATGCGAATTCATACCCAACTGCAGTTGATTTCCACAGACCTATCAAGGAAAGAAATCTACCTCACTTCAATCGCGAAAACAGGGAGAGAGCGCTTCAGTGAGTGAGGGTGCAGGAAGAAGCAGAGGCGAAACTTCCTTTTTCTTTTTCTTTTTCGTTTTTTAATAAAAAAAAAAAGTTAATTATGTCACCGACTCTCTGTCACTGTCGCTGTCTATGTGAGGGTCCAAGAAAATCAGAGGCCCATGTTAGAAATTGAAGGCCCAAGTCAGAAAATTGTCGCTGAAACTGGAGCTCATTTTTTTTTAATCGAATCTGATGAGCTTTTTTTAGAGAGTGAATTATATTGTTATCTAAAATAATTTTTAGTAAATCGGAAATCATTTCCACATCTATTTATTTATGTCTTTTGATTTTATATTTATTCATTTAAAAAGTTAAAAATACACGAAGAAGAATTAAGCGTGTTTTTTTTGCAAGAATCAGGTCGGAAATAATCTTTTAAATTTTTGCTTTAAAATTTCATAATTGGATTGGATCATATCACAATTTTCAAATTTGGAATTTTGGGCCAGTTCAGAAATTTCAGAAACGGAGTAATTTAGAAAATTTTAGAACATAATTTGGAAATTCATATATTTTATAAGTTTTTTTATTACACTCTAACTTTATTGTTCATGCAATTTGTTGTTCTTCTTAATATTTGTTACATGTATATGTATAAATTCAATTTATTTTGTGTTATACTAGTGTGTGTTTAATATCAAAACAATAAACAAAATGTATCCAAACTAAATATAAAATACAAAAAATTGATTACAAAATATATAATTAGACTAAACAACTATAATAAATGGGAATAATTCATAAGTTTTTTTTTAATGGAAATGTGTTTGGACAAAATTTGTAAATGCATTCCTCCATTCCAATTTCTCTAAAAATATTAAATTCAGAATTTTCATATTTGAATTCGAAATTTTACTATCAGAATCAAAAACACCACTCCAACAACTTTCGGGAAGAAAAATCCTCGGAGGGTGACCAAATTACAAGGTATTAAGTACTAGTTTGGTACTGAGGTGCTTTTATAAAAAGTAAGTATCAAAAAAAGCTAAGCTCAAAAAATTGTTTGGTAAATACTTAAAAACAGCTTATTTTCACAGTTTTTTGTGAAAAAAAAAGTTGAAAACGTGGAGCAGCAAAAATGAGCTTATTCTCACAGCACAGCAGAAATAGTTTTTTTTTTTTTCAAAGCACAGCAATACCAAACCAACCCTAAATGATTTGTGTGTGGCGGCGGAACGACTTCCGGCGACTGCTCTTAATTATTTCTTATTGTCCACGGGGCCTAACGTCCACCATATTTTTCCATCCCAAGATGTTTTTCATTATTTTCAAGTTCTTAAAGAAATCAAACAGTAAAAATTAATGAGGGTGAACCAAAATTTTAGAAATTTGATATATGAGAGTTGGATGTACGGATGAATATTTTGGTTGTATTCATCTTTCTTGTCTTGCTGGTATTAGAACGGCTAACTGAGATTGTCAGAATCCAATCGCGCAAATTCAACCGTGCAATGCACCGGTGTATCTTACACCGAGAGGTTGCATGAATTTTAACGAGTAGCAAAAGAATTTTTTGACTCTTTAATCGTTATTTCTTATCTGCAAATCACAGTCTGATACATATACAAACTAACTTATTAAAAACACCATACAAAGTTCTTGCACTCTTGTAGATGAACATTTGTTTGTTAGGAGAAATGACTTCTTATACGTAAGGGATCAAAGTATTTTTCCTAGCGTAAACAACAAAGATGTAAAATAAAATTGGCTAAAAAGGACGAAAGTACTATTCACTCTCCATTCAAAGAGGACCTTGGGGATGAGGTTGCCTGAAAATGTACAGAATCCAGCATCCACTTCTTACCAAAGCTCGTCTCTTCGGGACTTAAACAAAAGGATACAGTGTCCTATGCAAGGGCTAGGGGGATGGGGGAGTCTCATGAACTCACACAATAATTCAAACTTAAAAGAGAAAGAACAATGAACTAGCTGAAACTTTTTATTATATACATGTTTCATTAATTTCAGAGAAAGGTCAAAAATCAACAACTTATACATTTTCCATTTAACAAATGCGTAACTAAATGTCGAATATATCCTCTATGTTTACATTACTTTCCTTGGCATGAGCATTTTGGGAGGAGCCAGAGACCTTAATTCAGGTGCAGAACTAGGAAAAAGAGTGTTCAGCTTGTGCATGAGGATGTCGGACCTTGACGGAATCTCATTCAGAAGAAACTGTTGAACAATGGGTTTCTTATACCACTCCATGACAGCATCTCCTGGAGCCCTCAGCACCACTTTGCTAACCTCGAATGGAGATTCCACCGAGTTCAATATCTGTGCAACCACAATCTTCAAAGTCGGTCCTGTGACCAATTTAAAGCGTCTTGGGATGACATCATAATATAACATTCGTTTTCTGAACCTATGGAGAGTATGCACAACTGCTATCAGAGCAGCTCCAACTGATAAGTTCCTGACGTCCAGGGACCAAGCAATTTGCTGATCAAATACTATTGCCTTTGGGAAAAGATTATTCTCATAGGCAACTTTCCAAACACACCAGGCTCGATTTATCTGCCCCATAAGAACAAGGTAGTTGAGGAGAACATTAACAAAGTACTTAGCAGGCCCCTCTTCCAACTCATAATCGATACCTTGAAAAAATTCCCTCACAAAAGATAACACTGGTTGTTTCCTCTGTTATGTGCCCGTGAAGAGCCACACATAAAAGCATGTGCCTTATGTCTTGTGGCACCAAGTATTGACATCAAATGCCTCTCATGCTCTTCTTCCTGGCATCTTACGAGATAGGCTAGAATGGATGTGTAAAGTATGAGGTCGACTTTTGCACCAAGTATTCACATACATTTCTAAGAGAGGCTTCGCTGACTCATTCAAACCACTCTTCATACATGACTCGAACAACTGTCTGATTATAAAATTATTTGTTCTAATCCCTGATGAGCCCATGAAGCGCAACCACCGCAAGGCTACATCAACAGAACCCTCCTTGATATACACCATCAAAACATCACTAGCGCTCACATCAACAGAATAACCCATGGCCTTCATCTCAAGCAAAATCTTGGCAGCCACGTCCACAAGCTTCTTATTAGCCAAAAGCATCAAAAGAGATGTGTAAGTACTTAGACCTGGTCTTAAACCTGCATTGGTCATTGAGTTATACAGCTTCATAGCAGAATCTACTTGTCCAGAGGCAGCATGCATTTCCAATAGACACGAATATGTGGAAGGAGTGGGTAGAAATCCAGCCTTCTCCATATCGGTAAAGGTAGACATTGCAGTATCAAGTTTCCCTGATTTTGCATGGGACTCAACAATCATTGTGTACAACCCAAAGTTAGGCCTAAAGTCCACTCTCTTCATCTCATCCCAAAGCCTAAGGGCAGCATCTAATTTGCCAGCCCTTACATATGACTCAATCATAGAACCGTAGCCCTGCATTTCCATGTATAACTTCATCAACGTGTCCAACCGCCCATCTTTTCCCATTGAATCAACAAGTGATGCAAAGACATTAAAGCTGGGATTAAAGTTCCTTTATTTCATTTCTTGGAAGAGCTTAAATGCAGCATCAAGGCGGCCTGATTTCGCCAAGTTTGGTACCATCAACTCATAGGTTGATCCATCTAATGAAAAGCTTGCAGCTTGCATGCTCTCATATACCTCAAATGCCTTATAAGGTAAACCCTTATTTAGAAACAGCAATATAAGTGAATTACATGTCTGAGTATCAACTTCAAAACCCGAATCTTGAATCTTCTTAAAGCAACAAAATGCCACCTCCATTTTATCTGCTTTAGCCAAGAACTGAATGACGCGATTATACGCACCAGATGACAAAACCCCACTACTACCTGAATCCTGCACCATTTCATCAAACAAGGATTGGATTCCATTGAAGTCCTTACTTTGGTTTAGGCCATCAAACAACACCACATAACACTCGTCACTCGGCAAATACCACGCCTGCCTCTTAGCCCATCGAAACAAACTCAAAGCACCATCGCCATCCTTAATAACCTTCAAGGCTTGAGTAATGTGAGTCATGTTTGGCACAAATTGGAGTTTGTCTAATTGGGTCTCCAATTCAGGCCCCCATTTCCACCTCTTCACAACCTCAACAATCTTAGCAATGGCAGAGGCATTCAACATCGGCTTTTTCAACCCGCCTACCATCACATGGTCATCGAACCCTGGCTCGACCGACCGTATACCTTTCCCGGTGTAAATAACACTCCCTGATTCATCCAAATACTCAATTTCCTCAGTCCACTCATCACTCTTCTTCCTAGAACAGTATTTTCTGATCAAAGGGCCTAAAGATACCGGCGTTTCAACCAAATTCGTATCCGAAAAACCAGAGCCCCCCACAAAATTGGGTTTTGCTGGTACAGAAAAATTATGAGAAATTGAATTGAAACCCGTTATAGAGCTCCATAACCTGAATCTTCCTCCATAACTCTGAAGTTCATTTGCACATAAATTTGGGTACTTTGAAAGGAAACTACGAAATGCAGGGCTGACGTAGGGTTTTTGGTGAGTCTACAAATATTTATAGGGCAAAGCTTCCTCCTACAAAACATTGAGTTATTGGGTATACAGAACTATTAGGGTTTATGGAGGTTGAATGTGTTACCTGATTGTTGGAAAGATGCCGTCTTTACAGCAGAGCTTAAACCCTAGCTTTCAATGGGCAGCTGCAGCAGACTGAAGTACTGGTTTGTACTGAGATACAGTACTGGTTTGGTACTGATACTTTTATAAAAATGGGTATAAAAAAAAGTTGAGGTTAAAAAGGTGTTTGGTAAACACTTAAAAACAGCTAATACCTTATTTTTATAGTTTTGTGTGAAAAAAGCTAAAAACGTAAAGCAACCAAAATGAGTTTTGAAAAAAAAGCTGAAAATGTGAAGCAACATAAATGTTGGATTATATGTTGAATGTTGGATTATGTTTCTTGTTAAACGTCGGATTATGATTTTTTAATATACGTTGGATTATATGTTTAAGATAAAGTTTATAAATATTTTTCTTTTAAAAATAAAGTATATTTAGTAATTTACCTTTATTTGTTAAGAAAATTAAATTAATGACACATCTAGTATTATACATTTTTGGTCATTTCATACATTTACAATTGTTTTACATAAAAGTTTATCAAACACTATAATACCGTTTTTTTTTTCCAAAAGCACTTTTGCAAAAAAAGTTTATAAAACACTATGCCACTTTATTTCACAGCTGTTTATTCTCACAGCACAACAGAAGCAGCAATACCAAACCAGCTTGAAGTGTCAACCACCTACCGTGCTGCAAATACCTGAAAGAAAGCTTCCTTTTTTAATTGCACTTTGCACCCTGTGATTTGGGATGGTTATCAATTTGGTCCCTATTTTTTGAAACTGTCAATAGCAACCCTAAATTATCAAAATATTACAGTATTGGCCCCCCTGTATAACTACTATCCTTTGATTAGGAAATGTGTGAAATGGTTATTTACATCAACGTTGGGTTGCTGTGGTGTCCGCCGCTTGGGTCATTTTTTCATCATTTTATAGTGTTTGAGAAAAAACTCTTATTTATTCCTTTTAGGATATGTGTAATTTCATTTAATGTAGAGTTTAAATAAATAAAAATGAGTTTAACGTGTCACGTTAAAAAGTAAGGAAAACTAATGAAAAGGGCTTGAAAACTTTGAGTTTTAATGATAAGGACAAAATAAAGGGTAAAGTGAATAGTACCAGGATTGACTTTTAGTGTAAAAATGTGGTTTTTCGTTAAAGTGAACAGTACTGGGTGCTTTTCATTAAAGTTCCCTAAAAAGTAACAACTTACTTGACAGTTAACTGGATCAAAAGGACAATAGTCTAACAAATTGTAACTTTAGAATGGTATAATGATTTATATTAAAACTGTATATAAGAATATAATGATTTATAAAGATCATGTTTGCCACCACAAGACTCATGTCTATTTGATTACATGTAAAAGTCTATAGATAGGTTATGATACGAATAACGTTCTTAACAACTTGAGCTACAAGTTAATAATTGATTAGTTAAACTTTTGAATTTGGTACGAGGTCGGAAGCAAAACGGGATAAAAGAACATAGAGAGCAGTTTTGATTCTAAAATCCCACAACTCTGATGAGACTTTGGTGAATGTTGCATGTTCTCGAATATGGCATTGCCTTCATTTCTTAATTTGTCAGATTAAAGCACTAATCAGCCTTCAAATAGATTAAGGAGTATTAATCCTTGGTGGGGACATGGTGATTAGGATAACCCATTGAAGCAATTTGTGTTAAAGGCATTGTACGTTTCGTAACCAAACCTGCAAATGTACTTTTAACCAAACATGTAAAAGATCATTTGAACAAAGCAAATCCAAGCCAGTAAGCAATCAGAACAAAAGTGATTGTAACAAGCATTCTTTTGATGCAAAGTGATACTGGGCGGCGCGCACGGTGGAGGGGGGAGGGGGGGACATCGAATACAGAGTAAACGCTTGTAATTGCTTTAACTATAAATTCTCTTACAGTATATATAACTAGTGGCGGAGCTACCTCGAGGCCAAGGTAGGCTCGTCCTATGTTGAAATTGTTTTTTCCTGTAAACCTCTACTACCATTAATCAATTTTACCACTATCAACTTGAATTTGTAATTGTGTGTGTTAGTCAAATTAACTTCAATCCAACAAATACAAAGCCTTTAATTTTTTACATCAAAGATTTGAAACTATAGTTCTATAATTGATCATATTCTCTGTTTCTTGCCTATATACAATTTTTCCCCTTTGCTTGGTGACTATTATTTTTTGGTTTATTTCTCATTTTCCTCTATTATACCATCTAAGAAATCAAAAAGAGAGAAAAAGATTTCACGTGTCCAAATTAGCACAAAAACCCTTCAAATTCTCTCATTCCTAATGTTTTTACAAAAATGTTCTCCTGGTCTCCATGAGAAAACGAATATCTGGTCACTCACCATTGTGATTGGTATAAAGAGTGAAGAATAAATGGACTTGATATAGTTGACCTTGTATAATGAATAATAAATGCATGCATGGTTACTCACTTTTGAATTTAATATCAAGGTAACCAAAACGAACGAGACATCTACTTTTATTTATATTATGTCCATCTCGGTATAAAGTGTGTCCCTCCTAACATGAACTTCTAACTCTGCCGCTTCTCCCCTAATATGAATTTCTGACCCTGCAACTTCGTATAACAAACAACCAATTTTTCATTTGAAAAATGCATATCCACCTTGTCTCTTGGTTTGGTTTTCCCCCCACTTAGAAAGAGAATTGAGAGGAGAGAGAGAGAGCTTTGAGTAGAAAGGAAGCAACAGAAAAGGGCAGAGAAAATCACACTTCGATTTTTCCCAGACCAAGCAAGCATATATTCCAGTTTGTTGCATGCAAAAACAATATTAGTGAGGAGGCAAAAGAGATGTTATAATTCACCTTCCTATAACATACACCTTCTCTTTGAACCCTTTTTGTATTCCTTCAAACACACATGTCTGAGCAAAGTGAATGAAAGTTGGACCGCTAAAGAAGCAATCTTTATGGCCACCCGAGTTAACTAACCACTTGTCTACATTTGCCCTTTCTTGTAGGCAATTCTGGGGAGGTGAGGTCCAAGGCTGCTGCTCAAATATGCAAATGCTTCCTTCTGCATGCCTTGCTGCTTCTGGTTTTTGAGTTTTTTGTGGGAACTGTAGCAAAAGCAGAAGAGGAGAAGAAGAAGCTTAAATTGGAGTTTTGGGTTTTGTTGCAAGTCATGGAAACAAGTAGAAATAACACAAGAGTTTGCATTGTTTTTCTGTATTTAACTTTGGCAACTATTTCCTTCACTCAATGTGGTAAGCTTCTTCCTTGATTAGATCATTTTAGTACTTAACCACATTATATATACAGTGCTTAACCTCAAGTTGAGGGTAGATTCTTAGGGATGACCCGTGATATATCCCCTTTTAATCTATATTTCTCGTCAGGTGACTAAGTCACGTGATGAGAGATATAGTAAGAGGTGGTCGAATAACATCTCGATACAACTATGAGACGGTTAATTTTATTTGTTGACAAGTAATCCATATGTTTTGGTAGAGGCAAGAAGATCAATGAGATTGCTAAAAGATAGTCTTCCAAGTCCAACACAGCACCAAAGTCTGTTTCTCAAAGCTGCAAACAAATTGAACTTAATCAACCGCCTTGATTTTCCATTGGAGGGATCAAAGGACATCCAACCATATGATGTGGATTCACCATTTACATTGCCACCTTATGATTCTTTACCTCCAATTTCCATGCCTGAAAATGCACCTCCATATTGTACAACTCCACCCAATACCCCACAAACTCCCTCTACAACTGCCCCAACACCTATTGTGTTATCACCACCAACTCCCTCATCACCCTTCGTTTACGTTCCCCCAACCCTTCCTCTCCAAAGTCCACCTCCAAGCCCAACAAGCATTGTCCCAGGTTCACCACAATCTATCTCCACCCCTAATCCACCGGAAACCTTCCCAAGCCCAACGGGCTTTGTACCCGGCACACCACAATCCATCCCCACTCCCAACCCGCCCGAAAGCGTCCCAAGCCCGCCTGAAAGCTTTCCAAGCCCGCCGGAAAGCGTCCCAAACCCACCGGGCTTTATACCTAGTCCCGCTATCTACATCCCAAGCCCACCTTATTTCGAGCCTAGCCCGCCCGGTCTTGTTCCAAGTCCGCCTTCTTCGGTACCATCTCCTATTGGGTTTCAACCAAGCCCGCCGGTGTTCCTACCTCCCATTGTGTTCCCTCCGCCCACTACACCGCCGAGTCCAAGACGAGGCCCGACGGCGGCCCTGTGGTGCGTGGCTAAGCCATCTGTGCCCGACCCCATCATCCAAGAAGCTATGAATTATGCGTGTGGGTCTGGAGCTGATTGCGCTTCCATCCAACCCAATGGGTCATGCTTCATGCCCGACACATTGTTTGCCCATGCTTCCTATGCCTTCAATAGTTACTGGCAAAGGACTAAGGTTGCTGGTGGCACTTGTTCTTTTGGAGGAACTGCAATGCTAGTTACTGTTGATCCAAGTAAGAGAGTACATATTTCAATAATTTCATTCACTCATTTCTTGTTTAGTCCCAATACTTTTCCGTATTGCATTTTAGTTTATATAGAAAACTGATCCATTATCTTGGTGACGTCTTCACAGGTTATGATGGGTGTCGATTTGTTTATTATTGATTTCAAAATAGACTCGATCACAATGACAATGCGGATTTTTCTTTCTTTTTCTTTTTCTTTTCAACTTTTCGACAAGAAAAATACAAAATTTCAGTGTATGTAACCCTAATTTGAACAGGAATTTTGTAAGTACAATGTAAGGATAACTTCTTGTTCAATCATGAATACAAACTTCAATAATTTCTCATGTTATAAATTGTATTTTGTTGTAATAATGGGTATGTTTGCCCACATGTGTATAGTAATGTGTATAGTAAAGTATCACATGTGTATACTATATACTCATAAGCTAAATAGTAATGTTTTGTAATTTTCCATTGAAGTAGCTCTATAAATAGAGCACTTCAATTGTGCAAAGAGGAGTGAATGAGAAGAAGAAAGAAAAGAGAAATATATCTAATAGCAATAATATACATTACTTCCTCTGCAACAGCTTGTGTCGGTATATTACTCTGCAACTGCTTCGTTCCTTCACCGAGTAAAGGTTATCTCTCTATAAATTTTGCCTATTTATAACACGTTATCAGCACGACTCTCTAATCATTTCTCATTTCCTTTCACCGAAAGAAAAAAAAATGTTTCCTCTAAGGTTTTTACTGTTCTTCTTCTTCCTCTCTCTCAATTGCTGGGTATACCCTCGCGAAGAACTGTTTGCACCATGTTTACTTCTAGTTCTCCAACTAACAGTCACTTATATCTTTGATTTCTTGTTTGGTGTAGATATTGACTACTAACCCACTGATTATTTATGCAATCCAAGATTGTGCGGTTCTATCGCCTATCTTGGACTGCAGATCTAATTTTACTGCAAATTTTACGTGGAGCGGTATAATCGCCCGCTCTATCCTGCATATTTAAATTTTCCCGTTATTTAATTTTATCGCAATTTTAGGTGGTGTGAAATAATCACCCACCCTGCTTTACATATTTAATTTTATCGCAATTTTAGGTGGTGCGGTATAATCGTCCACCCTGCTTTGCATATTTAATTTTATCGCAATTTTAGGTGGTGCGGTATAATCGTCCACCCTGCTTTGCATATTTAAATTTTATCGCAATTTTAGGTGGTGCGGTATAATCGTCCACCCTGCTTTGCATATTTAAATTTTATTGCAATTTTAGGTAGTGCGGTATAATCGTCCACCTTGCTCTACATATTTAAATTTTCCTGCTGTTTAAAGTAGTGCGGAATAATCACCCATCCTATACTTATTTCGATGAGAATGGTGCGGTACAATTGCCCTTCTCATTAATTGTGTAAATCTCGAGCCTGAAGTTTCGAGTACTTATCATTTTGGCCTGAAGATCAAAAATTTGTAAGAACCAGAAGTTCTAACAATATATTTCTCCAGTACACATATTATTGCAAGTTCTTACACACCTCATTTTTCTTTCAGAAAAGAAAATGGCAAACTTGGCAAAGCTTGATTTTGCTGCCCTGGACATTACTGGAAAGAATTACCTTACATGGGTACTGGATACCAAGATCCATCTGGAAGCAGCAAATCTTGGAGATACCATCAAGGAAGAAACAGCTCATCCTCTCAAGATCGGGCAAAGGCCATGATTTTTATTCGTCGTCATCTTGATGAGGCACTAAAGAGCGAGTACTTAACGGTTGAAGATCCGTTAGCCCTTTGGAATGCCTTGAGAAGCAGATACAATCACCAGACAATGGTGATTCTTCCAAAAGCTCGCTATGACTGGACACACCTGAGGATCCAGGATTTCAAATCAGTGGCTGAGTACAATTCGGCGTTGTTCAGAATTACCTCTCAGATGAAACTCTGTGGGGATACTATCACTGAGGAGATGTTATTGGAAAAGACTTTCAGCACATTCCACGCCTCTAACATGGTACTGCAACAACAGTATAGAGCGCGAGGCTTCACTGAATACAACCAGCTGATATCTGTGCTCCTGGTAGCTGAACAGAACAATGAGCTTCTCATGAAAAAACCATAATTCCCGACCTACTGGATCAGCACCGTTCCCAGAAGTGAATGTTGCTTCCCTTGAAAGGAATACCATATCCTCTCGTGGCAATAATTACAAACGAGGACGTGGCCACAAGCAAGGTCGGTGGAAAGGGAAAAGCAAGAACCATGGTGTCCAGTTTCACAACCAGGTTCCAAGGTATAATCCAGGCCCGAGCTTTAAAAATACCAATCGCCAGAAAGGAAAAGCTCATGTGAACACTCCTAGAAGTCATGAAGGAGGTTGCCATAGGTGTGGTGGCAACGGACATTGGGCGCGTACTTGTCGCACCCCAAAGCATCTGGTGGAACTATATCAAGCCTCCTTCAAGGAAAAGGGTGTCGAGATCAATTTCCTTGACCAGGCTAAACCAATGGAAACCCCTGATCCAGTGACCAATTTATCAGGACAGTTAAACACAACCCACCTGGATGCTACAGACTTTATTAATGAAAGAGGGAATGAAGTTTATGGGTCCGATTGAATTATTTATGTTTAATGTACTCATGTTATTTGTACCTATGGTTTAATGCTCGCATTTTCAATTCAATAAAAGTAGTATTCCAGTATGAATAAACTGCTTTTTCTTTACTCAGAGATCATGGATAAAAATTATGGTTGTTCTCAAAACAAGATCAATGGCGGAGACTTTTGTCTTGCAGATAGCGCGCAACCACGCATTCAATACTTCGAGACCGAAAGTATTTCTCGAATTTGGTACTTGCAAAAGTAAAGGTAACAACAATATCAGGACCATCAGATGTAATTGAAGGCTCAGGAAAAGCCCAGATTATGTTACCAAATGGAACAATATTGTCTATAAAGAATGCATTATATGCTACTCAGTCCATTCGAAATTTGTTGAGTTTTAAAGACATACGTTTAAATGGATACCACCTTGAAACGAAAAGTGTAGAAAATGTGGAATATTTATGCATTACCTCCAATGATACCCAGAAGCGTATATTGGAGAAGTTGCATGGTTTATCGAGTGGATTGTATTGTACATACATAAAGACAGTTGAGGCATATACTGTCATGAACCAGAAGTTCATTGATTCAAAGGTTTATATGCTTTGGCATGACCGTCTAGGTCATCCAGGATCTACCATGATGCGTAGAATCATTACCAACTCTAATGGACATCCATTACTGAACAAACACATTAATGTCTCGAATGATAATTCTTGCAAGGCTTGTTCCCAAGGGAAGTTGGTAATTAGACCATCACAACTAAAGGTTGATGATGAATCCCCATCATTTTTGCAAAGAATTCAAGGGGATATTTGTGGACCTATTCAACCACCTTGTGGACCATTTCGATATTTTATGGTTTTGGTTGATGCATCTACCCGATGGTCACATGTTTGCCTATTGTCTACTCGAAATGTAGCTTTTGCGAGACTTCTTGCTCAGATAATTAAGTTGCGAGCACAGTTCCCAGATCATCCCATTAAGTCCATTCGACTTGATAACGCTGGTGAATTTACGTCTCAAACCTTTGATGATTACTGTATGGCACTGGGCATTAATATTGAACACCATGTTCCTCATGTCCATACTCAAAATGGTTTAGCAGAGGCATTTATCAAGCGGCTTCAATTAATAGCCCGTACTCTGCTCATGAAAACAAAATTGTCAGTTTCTACATGGGGACATGCCATATTACATGCTGCATCATTGGTTAGATTGAGACCCATAGCCAACCACCAATACTCATCAATACAACTCGTGTTTGGACATCAGCCAAATATTTCACATTTACGAGTTTTTGGTTGTGCTGTTTATGTGCCTATTGCACCACCACAACGAACTAAAATGGGACCTCAGCGCATATTGGGAATTTATGTGGGTTTTGATTCACCATCTATCATTAGATATTTGGAACCTTTGACTGGTGATGTGTTTACAGCTCGTTTTGCTGATTGTCATTTTGATGAGATAGTTTTCCCGTCGTTAGGGGGAGAAAAGACCGTTCCAGAAGAACGACAAGAGCTAACATGGGTTGTTCCCACCTTATCTCATTTTGATCCAAGAAGCACTCAATGTGAAAATGAAGTGAAAATGATCGTTCATCTTCAAGGTATTGCTAATCAAATGCCAGATGCATTTAATGATGCTTCGAAAGTGACACAGTCATATATACCGGCTGCAAACGCACCTGCAAGAATTGATGTCCCTGTTGGACAAAATAAAGTGGCAGCGAATGATTCATCCAGTGCACGCCTGAAGCGTGGTAGACCCCCAGGTTCAAAAGATTCAGCCCCTCGAAAGAGAAAGATGAGGGCCCAATTGAACCCAAATGATATCATTCAAGAAAAGGAATTGAATGATAAATCCACAATTCGTGACTCTGTACTTCCAGAAAAAGAAAATGTCCTTGATGAGACACATGTCCCTGAAGAGACAGAAGTACATGAAAGCAAAGAAATATCCATAAATTATGCATGTACTAATGAATTGTGGGATTGAAATGAAATAATCATCGATGACATGTTTGCATTTGCAATAGCCACTGAAATTATATTAAGTGATGATATTGAGCCCCGCTCTGTTGATGAATGCAAACAGAGACACAAGATTGGCCTAAGTGGAAAGATGCAATCCAGGCAGAATTAAATTCCTTGGAAAGGCGAAGTGTTTTTGGACCAGTAGTCCAAACCTCAACTGATGTAAACCCCGTAGGTTACAAATGGGTGTTCATAAGGAAACGCAACGAGAAAAACGAGATTGCAAGATATAAAGCACGACTCGTTGCACAAGGTTTTTCACAAAGACCTGGAGTTGATTATGAAGAGACATACTCTCCTGTAATGGACACAATTACGTTCCGTTACTTAATAAGTTTGGTGATTTCAGAAAAACTTGACATGCGACTTATGGATGTCATCACCGCGTATCTATATGGAGAATTAGATACTGACATATATATGAAAGTCCCAGAAGGACTTAAGTTGCCTGAAGCAACTAACAAACCACGGGGTATGTTCTCAATCAAATTAAGGCGATCACTATATGGGCTAAAACAATCTGGGCGAATGTGGTATAATCGTCTCAGTGAGTATTTGATTAAAGAAGGATATGCCAACAATGTCATCTGCCCTTGTGTGTTCATTAAGAAATCAAATACTGGATTTGCTATAGTGGCAGTATATGTCGATGATATGAACCTAGTTGGAACCCCTGAAGAGCTCAACAAAACTGCTGAATATCTGAAAAGCGAATTTGAAATGAAAGACCTTGGGAAAACCAAATATTGTCTAGGCC